AAAAAAAAAAAAAAAGCGGCTGCGCGATACAGACGGTGGTGCGATACAAAAAAACTGTTATGCCATAGCAACGAGCCCCTTCTTCCTCACCCACACTCCTTTGTGTGTGCGCATATATATATATAAAATAGCGGAACGCGGAGACGATTTTTCCCTTCCTGCATGTGCATACAAAAAAGTATCGTTAAAAAAAAAAAAAACAAAAAATACCATATGTTTTATTTATATATATATAAAAAATTGCTGCCTGATTGACTTACTGTAACATATGCACTCGCGTGTACATTTTTTTTTTTTTTTTTTTCCAAATGGTCATTTGTTTTTTTGTTAATTTTTATTTTAAATTAATTTTATTTTTCTTTATTGCAATATTTAAAAATAATATTAAAAAAAAAAAATAATGTATTTAAAAAATATATTTTAAGATTTTTATAACAAAAAGTTCCTAAATTTATATTTCATAAAATTCAGCACATTTCTTTATTCAATTTTTACACGCATTTTCTTTTTTTTTTTTTTTTCCCAAAGTAACAGTTTCTTTTTTTTTTTTTTTTTTCCTTACATTTTTATATATCACACAAAATGGTATCCAAAAAGCCAGCCAAAGCGAAAAAAGCCGCCACTGGTCCTGACGGAAAGAAGAAGAGAAAAAAGTCAAAATATGACAGCTATGGACTTTACATTTTTAAAGTTTTGAAACAAGTTCACCCAGACACTGGTATTTCGAGGAAATCCATGAACATCATGAACTCCTTCCTTGTGGATACTTTTGAGAAAATTGCAACTGAAGCCTCCAGATTGTGTAAATACACCAAAAGGGACACCTTATCATCACGTGAAATTCAAACTGCCATCAGATTAGTATTGCCAGGAGAATTGGCCAAGCACGCAGTTTCTGAAGGAACCAAGGCCGTTACGAAATTTACCTCTAAGTAATTTGGCTACCACAGGCACGTTGCCAAAATGGAAAATAAAAAAAAATAAAAAAGTGTAAAAACGCATCAAGTGCAAAACTTTAATATGATATATAAAATATGTTTAAAAAAAAAAAAGTGAAACTATAAAAAAAAAAAAAAAAAAAAAG